AAATCCTTCCTCAGTGATCAGTGCAAAGAAATAGAGGAAAACAATAGAATGGGAAAGACTGGAGATCTCTTCAAGAAAATTAGAATACCAAGGGAACATTTCATGCAAAGGTGGGCACTATGAAGGACAGAAATGGTAGGGACCTAACAGAAGCAGAAGATGTTAAGAAGAGGTGGCAAGAATACACAGAAGAACTGTACAAAAAACATCTTCATGACCCAGATAATCACGGTAGTGTGATCACTAGAGCCAGACATCCTGGAATGTGAAGTCAAGTGGCCCTTAGGAAGCATCACTACGAACAAAGCTAGTGGAGGTGATGGAATTCCAGTTGAACTATTTCAAATCCTAAAAGATGATGCTGTGAAAGTGCTGCACTCCATATGCCAGCATATTTAGAAAACTCAGCAGTGGCCACAGGACTGGAAAAGGTCAGTTTTCATTCCAGTCCCTAAGAAAGGCAATCCCAAAGAATGCTCAAACTACTGCACAATTGCACTCATCTCACACACTAGCAAAGTAATGCTCAAAATTCTCCAAACCAGGCTTCAGTAGAACGTGAACAGTGAACTTCCAGATGTTCAAGCTAGTTTTAGAAAAGGCAGAGGAACAAACATCATTGGATCATGGAAAAGCAAGAGAGTTCCAGAAAAATATCTATTTCTGCTTTACTGACTATGCCAAAGCCTTTGACTGTGTGGATCACAATAAACTGTGGAAAATTCTGAACGAGATGGGGATACCAGACCACCTGACCTGCATCCTGAGAAATCTGGAAGCAACAGTTAGAACTGGACATGTAACAACAGACTGGTTCCAAATCAGGAAAGGCTACATATTGTCACCTGCTACTTTAACTTATATGCAGAGTACACCATGCAAAATGCCAGGCTGGATGAAGCACAAGCTGAAATCAAGATTGATGGGAGAAATATCAATAACCTCAGATATGCAGATGACACCACCCTTATGGCAGAAAGAGAAGAACTAAAGAGCCTCTTGAAGAAAGTGAAAGAGGAGAGTGAAAAAGTTGGCTTAACGCTCAACATTCAGAAAACTAAGATCATGGCATCTGGTCCCATCACTTCCTGGGAAATAGATGGGGGGACAGTGGAAACAGTGAAAGACTTTATTTTCTTGGGCTCCAAAATCACTGCAGATGATGGCTGCAGCCATGAAGTTAAAAGACACTTGCTCCTTGGAAGAAAAGGTATGACCAACCTAGATAGCATATTAACAAACAGAGACATTACTTTGCCAACAAAGGTCTGTCTAGTCAAGGCTGTGGTTCTTCCAGTGGTCATGTATGGATGTGAGAGTTGGACTGTGAAGAAAGCTGAGCACCGAAAAATTGATGCTTTTGAACTGTGGTGTTGGAGAAGACTCTTGAGAGTCCCTTGGACTGCAAGGAGATCCAACCAGTCCATCCTAAAGGAGATCAGTCCTGGGTGTTCACTGGAAGGACTGATGCTGAAGTTGAAACTCCAATACTTTGGCCACCTCATGCGAAGAGTTGACTCACTGGAAAAGACTCTAATGCTGAGAAAGATTGAGGGCAGGAGGAGAAGGGGATGACAGAGGATGAGATGGCTAAATGGCATGACCGACTCAATGGACATGAGTTTGAGTAAACCCCGGGAGTTGGTGATGGACAGGTAGGCCTGGCGGGCTGTAGTCCATGGGGTTGCAATGATTTGGACATGACTGAGCAACTGACCTTTTGTGGGGAAAGAGGCATTTGTTAAAAAAATCTACACAGGTAAAAATTCAGTTGCTTCCATGACCGGGGCCAAGAAAAACCATGCCTGGTCACGTTTATCTCAGCAATGCATGGTATATTTAACATTAAAAAATCAATCACCATAATTCACTAGTAGAGTAAAATGGTAAACCAAACTGTCATTTTAATAGATTCAGGTAGTATCTGGCAAATATTATATTCTTAATAAAATAGCCAAACAAACTAAAACTAAAAAGTACCAGTCATTATTGAAATGCCTAGTACCAGTGCTGGGGCAAAGAAAATACAAAAGGAGCCTAGAGTCGTTTTTGTGTCTGGATTTTTATGACTAAAATAGGATCCCCACCCATTCTATTTCCTTCTTCCTAACACACAATATTCTAGTCTCCTGTTACATTTCATAAAGCTTAAGTTGTTCTCCAATGCTTACAATATGAAGTCCAATTTTCATGCATAGCCTACAAGGTACTTCATTCATCCTCCATCTCTCTTTCCAGATTCATTTTTCTTTCATGTTTGAAATACATGCTACTCTCAGGTACATGGAAGTTATTCAGAATTCCACATGCATGCCTTTTACTTTCCTGCCTACAGACCTTTGTACAAATTATTTTCCGAGATTATAGGGTCGTTTTCTGGATTTTTCCTGGAAAAATCCAGATTTCCCTGATCTATTTCTGACCCAACTTTAAGCTGTTCTTTACAGGCATACAGGGTGACTGTTGTTTTACATACAAATCCGATCAGGGTATACACTGCTAAAACATTCTTTAGAATATAAAAATTTCATAGGCCATAAATTCCAATGTGCCATTTCTTATTTTTCTGTGATAAACCTATATAATATACAGTTTCAATCTATTAAATGACTTTTTTTTTATTAAATGACTTTTACTTAAAACTTTCCCTCAGTCTCATTCTCATGAGAGCAGGCAACTTAAAAGTTATTTTCAGGTTCATTTAATTGTTTTAGTGTTTCCTTGTTGAGTCATTTTAAGTGTAAATTCTGTCACTTCGGAATATCCATCTTCCCCACCTTTGACTTAGGAGGACATTTAAGGTGGGGAGACTCCTGGTGTCTACGTCCATAGACACCATGGGGCTATTTTCTCTTCTCTGACACCAACCGCAATGGATAGGCATCTCTGCCTGTGTGTTTTTGTCTAAAGTACATATCCCAGTTGGTGTCTCCCAAAGCAGCTTCTGTCCATTGCCCTCCAATGGTGCACGCTGAGACCCTAGTTCAGGTCCATGTCAGCTGCTCACGATCACGAGGTGTGACTTCTGTCTGATGCTTCTTTCTATAACCTGGAGGAGACCAGGGCTGTCATCAGGCATTTTCTCCTGCCACCCACACCATCACCTTTATAGTCTGCTCCTATGCCACTGGAAGTCTGTCACTTTTGCTGGGTGACAACCTGTGAGAACTTTCCTACCAAGCTTTTCATCCAAAACCTTGGTTCAGGGTACCTTTCTATTAATCTTGTCATTGTTTGGGGATTTATGTGGAGGACAAGACACAGGTCCTTTCTATGACCAAGCCATCCCCAAACACAAAGGAGCATCCCCATTAAAGTCCCATGGCTGCTCAATACTCTCAGACTACTTCCCCTTATTAGGATTTGCTGGGTGGTGTCTGTATCCCCACAAAGCTCTGAGTTCACAAAAAGCAAGGACTGTGTGTCTGTCCTTCTCATGCTGGTATCTGGCACAAAACCACATAATCAGTAAATATTTGTTGAATGGACAAATGAACCTGTCTTTGCCAAAAACACTCTCTGTTTAGTTTTACATATTTTGCTTTTAATGGCAGTAACATTGTTTTAATCTTATACAATGAAATGGCGTATGCCTTGCAAGAGGTTAGAAATACCTACTTGAAAAGGAAGACAGGACATGATATTGTGCAGTCAAAGCAGAAGTAACCGTTGTAAAGCACTAATAGCAGAGACAGAGCTTTTCTCTAGTGTTAGAAAAGCATGAAGGAGTAAAGCCACTAAGAAAGAAAACATTTCACAGTTGCCCTTTTATGCTCCAATAATATTTTCTGCAAGGCTATTTTTATTATTTGCAGATTTTTTTTACTACAGGGGATACAAAATTGACTTTTGTTAGATGATAAATTGTAATACTGGGGAGGTGTTAACAACGGCTTTTGTAAGCTAACTCAAGACTATAATGCTAAAAATCCTTGTCCCTTGGTATATGTTTGTGAGGAACTTTGCTATTTGAAGCTGTATCTGAGAACAGAACAATCTACTCTTTGCCCTGGTGGCTCAGTAGGGAAAGAATCCACCTGCAGTGGAGGAGACCCAGGTTCAGTCCCTCAGAGAAGATCCCCTGAAGCAGGAAAAGGCAACCTGCTCCAGCATTCTTGCCTGGAAAAATCCCTTGGACAGAGCAGCCTGGCAGGCAACAGCCCATGGAATCAGAGAGAGCTGGACAGGACTTAAGAGACTAAACCACCACCACCACTCTTGCCTTAAAAATGTGAGCCAGGGGGATTCATTTGACCCAGAGGAGCAGGTTGGATTCATAACTCAGGTGCAGAAGTTCAGATAAGGAATCTGGGAACATAGCATTACACATTTGTCTTAACTTTGCACAGTCCAAGGAAAGGAGTCTGTCCGTCACCCCATGCTGATAATGGTAATCAGATTTTAGTTCCTAACATAACTCTAAGAACTGTTTCTAATGAGTCCTAGTGAAGCCACAAGACCTTTCCTTTGAGTGTTGATTGATTTCTTAACAATAACTGCCCCAGCCCCGCTTCCTTCCATCCCCCTCATGAACAAAGACCTAGGATACTGAGCTCAAATCAGATTCTGCTTCCTCCACCCGTTTACTAGAAACTTAGCACAAGTTTGTGCTTCATCACAGTCTCCTTTTGAAGTTTAGGCGTACTGAGCCGCTCCAAGGCTTGCCTTTCTGCAGCATATCCAATTTAACTTTGATGAGCTTACTGATAACAAGCGCTTAGATGTCACTTTGCTTGTAAAGTACTCAGTCAATAGCCTGGGGTAAGTAATAAATACTGCTATTTATTATAAATGCTTATGCATGAGCACTGCAGTCCTCTGCGCTAAATCTCATGAACCCAAAGAGCCTACTGCCAATCGACCCTTGAGAGATGAAAAAAAACGAGCAGCGTCCAGGCGATGCCGCAGGAACTGGCGACTCACGTAAGCAAAGGCTTCCTGTCTGGCGCAACTCACAGGGACCTCTAGCCGGCTCATCCCCCGCAAGCCGCGGCGCGCGCATGCGCAGGGCTCGCGGGACGCGCCGCGGTCTCCTGCGCGCCGGGGTTTACATCCGGGTCCTGCGGCGCCGCGCTCCCCGCGCCGGCCGGGGTCGCTCCGGGTTGCTGGGTGCTGGTTGTTCTGGCTGCTCCCGCGTCGGAGGAGCCAGTGGGTCAACAGGTGAGCCCACGCGGAAGGACCGAGACGGGGAGTCGGGCGGGGACCTGCCTGGGCGTTGCCTCCACCGGTGGGCTGTGTGCGGAGACGGGGACGCCGGGCGGACGGGGTTCCCGGGAGCCTCGAGGCGAGGCCCGTCGTGTTCCGCAGCGTTGTCTCCCGCTAGCTTAGCAGGTTGGCCTCTTCGGAACTGAGCCTCGGCGAGGGGCGCTCCCTGGGGCCCTCTCCTGACACTCGTTACAATTGCGCGATAGTCATCCTCATTTGCATTCACTGTGGTGTGCGGAGGGATGGGCCCTGCAGCCGGGCAGGTGAGGTTGGGTTTGCAGCCTTCGCCTTCCCGGGCAGGGACCACAGTCCTCGCTGCTGCTTCAGCCCGTCGTCGGGACCAGATCCCCCCTTCCCAGAAGGCCTCCTTCCAGGTCGGGCTTCAGAGGTTCTTTGAGGTGAGGTGTAGTGTGTTGTAGGGGGAAGGCGCATAGCAGGGATTCTGGAAGCTTAGATTCCCGATTCTAGTGTAGATTCTAAAATAGCTGTTAACCCAAGTTGTCCAGAAGTTCCCACCCCGCATTACAGTTCTGAGGTTTGTGTCTGGCAGCTCTTGGTCGAGGGGATGCACACCCGAAGTGAATCAGCGCCTAAGAAAGGCGAGGACAGGGGTGGGCGTCATTTTTTGAGCACTGTAGAGTCCGGATGCTAGGGAATGGTCGAGGACCGCATCCGTTTGGATCTCTGAGGATTGGCGAAAACTGGAAAAAGAGATTTTAAGATCTGAACACATGTGGCAGAAACATTCAACTTCTCTCCGGTGATTCATTTGGGACTTTGGGAAGGGAACTCTGGGCACACGGAAGAGTTTGAGAAAACAATGTACTTGGTCTGAAGGGCTTACCTGAACCTCTGTACAATGAAGTCATCGTGTATGATGTTCTTTTCCAAATTTATCCTGATTGTGAGAATCACCTGTGGTATTTGTGTAAGTGCAGATTCCCTGGATCCCGTTCCAGATCTTTTGCAACACTATGTCCAGGGAAAGGTCCTGGGAATCTTTCTAACAGGGATCCTAAGTGATTCTTCTTACAAGACACTTTTGCAGAGCATGTGTCTTTCAGTCAGATAGACCCTCCACCACTTAATAGCTTTATAACTTCAGTAATAAACTTCTGAGTTGCAGTTTTCTATGTCTGAAGAATGAGGATGATCAGTTCTTTTAATACACCAGAGACTATTAAGTGAGTCTAAGCACTTTGATACTAGGATCTTTATCTTAGTCATTTTTATGTCTACAGAGCTTAGTGCTTAGTATTTAATAGGCCCTCCCTCTTACCTGTGTTGAACTGAGAAAAGAAATAACATGCGCCCAAAACCCTCATGACATTTCCTCCTCACCTTACCGGTTTTTTTCTCTCTTTATCAATAGTCATTTTGCTGAATATTCTTATTATAAATAATGATATTTCTTGATGGTGAAAACAGCTTGGAAGTGTTTCTGATTCCTTGGTGTAACTTTGAAGTAGTTTCTGCTACTAGATTATTAATGAGTTTAAATAGAGGCCAAGTCCATTTCCTGGACTGAAATAATTAAGCCCATTTGTTGGACTTACTGTGTGAATTATTGTTTGTAAATGTTGTTTATCTCTTGTTACTGTGCCAGAATTCTAGATCATGTTGATTGTAAGTTTTTGTTATACCAGATTTATAAATCATGTGGTCCTAAGGACATATTTAGATTCAGTGTATTCATTATTATAAGACCTCCTATTCCTACTAATGTAAAGAATTTGATTTACTACTGTATGTAAAGTTTGTGGGTACAGAATTCAGGACTGCTAAAGCCGTTCGTGAAAGAATTGGTGTAACATCCATTTAAATACAAAACTAAGAGTTAAAATCTGGAAATTATGGTTGAAAAGCACAGGGTAAATGTTATAAATCTTGACAATATAAAAATAACACATCTTACAGAAATCAGGGGGTGGGCAAAAGTAGAAGAAAGCAATTTTCACATATTTCATGGTAGCAGGTCAAGCCATGTTGTCCAAAATGGAATCATACAGTTTTAAAATGACTCCTCTCTCTTAATATTTGTATAATATTTTTTTCTTAACCTTATAATATTCTTTTAGGAACTTAAATTGCTTTTTGTGAAGAATTCTTTTGCCTGGACGTCTGCAGTTTTTTTAGTTCACTTTTTTTTTTTTTGCTCCTGTTGAAGGCAGAAAATTAAGTGTTTTTTGTTAAAAATAGAATGTCTAGTATGATACCATGGTTAGAAACTATTTCTATACATCCCATTTGTATATGTGCATTATATAGATATATGGAATGATGTATACCTAATAGTAATGAGCTTTATTTCAAAGTGGCAGGATTTGGGTCTTTGTTTTTGTTTTTTTTTAATTCTTTGTACCTTTCTGTATTGATTGAAATTTTTTAAAGTGCAGGTGTTACTTTTATAAAAACATTATTTACCAGAAGAGAGGTTTGATTATTACATCATTCATAGGGAGAGTTCTGGATTTTAGTAAGTAACCCATAAGGTGCTGAGTAATCATTACTGCCATTAACTTGCAGTCAATAAATGAGTGCTGCTTTGTTTGCCTTTAGGTTTGTTTTATGTTGCTTTATATAGTATCCCTCTGGAGACAATGCAGTGTGATGTCTTTACAGTAAATTTGCCTTGATAAAAATTTTGACTTTGTCACTTAACAACTATGTGAACTCAAATTGTGTCAGTCCCTCTACTCATCTGAAACAGGACATTGTATTTTCCTTAGAAGGTAAGGATTTACCTTGTCGTAAGGATTAATATTTGTACTTAACTGACCTAGCCCACTGCCCAGCACCTGAAGTCTGTTCAGTAGAGAGCAGCTATTAGTGCTATTTTAAAAGTACAGATTGTATTTGTATACATGCATGTCTTTCTTAAGTAATATCCTTTTTAAAGTCATCAGTGTGTTATGCTTCTGTTTGACTATCTGCTAATCACTTAAAGTGCTCTACAATGAAATTTCCTCAGGTTTGAACTTCTTGTCCTGGAAGCTGTGCGTCACCATAATGAGGCTTGTAATTCTTGATAACTATGACCTGGCTAGTGAATGGGCAGCCAAATACATCTGTAACCGCATCATTCAGTTCAGACCTGGACAGGACAGATATTTTACACTGGGTTTGCCAACAGGTAATATACCATTTATTCTACACCCTAATTTTTTTTTCCTTACCTAACAAAAGTAAGGAAATTAATAGCTTACAATGTTGTTTTGCAGCTCAAATAAGAGCAAGTCCTTTATATGCTGTAAACACTATATAACTTTAAGATTCTCATAAATGTGATTTATTTAAACAGTATTTTCTCCTTCCCCCATACATGTCAGTTCATAAAAGCTACCATCATAATTTTTTTCACTTGCATAATTTCCATGAAACGTTCTCTGACTCAAGTTGTTTTTTTTGTTTGTTGTTTTGTTTTTTGGTCCATGGCAGTAGTTCTTGGTGAGAATGGCAAAGACGAATTTTTTTTTTATTGTGTTCACTGGAAATGGGCCCCTCGGCACCCACAGTTTTGATGTGAGCTGCAGTGATTGAACAAGACCTCGGTATCAGTTCGCCTTGTATGAGCCTGGGCCATGCTCAGACCAGCTGCCTTAATCATTCTGTGTTAATTGTGAAGAAGTAGACAGTAATTTGAGTGTGGGGACAGAAAGACTTCGGAGTCATATACACCAGCAATGCTAAACATTTTTTGTGTGTGTTTAAATATACAACCCTTTTGCTCTGTTTTGGATAGTATAACTGCTTAGTAATACCCCTGCCAAGGGTTGATTTCTGAAAAACTTCTGTTGACATTTTTCTCTCTTCTCCTTCATTGACCAGTGACAGTGTTAATCACGCCCCATCCTCACCTGTGTGCTTTTGAAATGTGAACATACATTTCTGTAATTGTCAGTAACATGCTGTGTTATAATCATGCTGCACCACGCCCAATTCTGGGGCTTCCCAGGAGGCACGGTGGTAAAGAATCTCTGCCTGCCAACGCAGGAGACACAGAAGACTCGGGTTTGATCCCTTGGTGAAGATCCCCTGGAGGAGAAAATGGCAACCCACTCCAGTATTCTTGCCTAGAAAATGCCGTGGACAGAGTGGCCTGGCAGACCACAACCCATGGGGTCGCAGAGTCGGACACAGCTGTGCATGCACACCCATACGAGTGCCGTCAAGCACAGTTCTGGGGATTATCTCTTCGGTATATATTTACTGAAGTGATGTTGACAAGCGTGACATTTAAGGGCCTGCATGCTGTGGGCCTGACCTGCCTCCCAGATTTAATACTCCCACCATTCCCCTACGCTGAATCATGGGAGGCAAGTTAGACTGCTTGTAGTTGAAAGAACAGGCCTGAACTTGCTGGCTTTCCTTTCACTAGTGTTGCAAATGTGCTGTATAATAAAAACTTTCTGAGCTCCAGAAGCAGGCAGAGTCTCTTCAATCTCTGACTTCACTGCCATGTGTGTGATATTTCACACATTGCTGAGTTTTTTTGACCCAGTTCTTCACCTTCAAAATGGGAAACATAATGTGAGTTTTCCAGACTTGTGAGATTTACATCAGCTGACATACGATGTATACATAACATACACCAGCACAGCCTCCAGCACATCGTAGGCATACAGATGGCATCTCTGAACCTTCTCCCCCATCTTTTTTCTATATTTAGTCAAGACTTACCCCATTTGATTGTGGGAATTTCAACTCTTCTTCAAAGACTCTGTTGAAATGCCATTTTTGATCCTCCTTTCAACAGCCAAGACTGTAGTCTTCCCTTCTTTGATGTGTTATGCTTCTCCAGATCTCTTGTAGTTTATAATATTTTTCCTTCTGTTGTGGCCATTTAGTACTTGTCTATCCATAGCTTGTGAGTTCTTCTGTGGTTGAGAGTCCTAATCTGAAACATAGTAAACACGTACTGAATTAATTATGTTAGTAAATGAGTATTGCAAAGCAAATATATTAAAATGAAGTTTCTTTCACCAGTTCACCCTGTATCATATCTTCCATTGTTTTTTTTTTCTATTCAGCCACTTTGATTAAAAAGTAGAAAATGAATGTATTTTTGTCATCACTGTTGTGACAACTTCTTATATTTTTCTTCATATGCTCTTAAATTATAGAGGGAGTCCTATAACTCTTCTCTTGACATCAAAAGATAGACCCAGAAAATTTTTTATGTTCCTAGAAAGGAAGAAAGAAAAGTATACTTGTCCATCTTTTATCCTGGTCTCATGTTAGTGGGCTATAGTTCTTTGATAAGGAATTATAAAGTTTGACAACATAAATTTTAAATTATTAATAACAATTTAAAACAATTTGTGGTTTTAACTTTAAGAAAACTTACTAGTCTTCTGTTCTCTGAACCTGTCTGTGTGATACTTAGCCACTTCTATTATCCTATCATCTTAAATGAGGCAGTTTTTTTTTTTTTTACTACTCCAGATTTCTTCTGTATTTACTGTTGTTGGGTTTTTTTTTTGGTTGGATGTTTTATTTTGCCAGATGCTGTTCAGTTCTGCCATACTTCTCCCTGCTTTTTGAATAGAAACTTTATGTGTCTGTGTTTTATTTTGGTTTGTGATGGTAGGTGGATTAAAAATCAATATTCTGACCAGGATTGTGTGGGCCAGGTTGTTTGTTGTAAGAATGATGTTAAGAATGCAGTCAATTTAGTCTTTGAATTTGTAGTTTAAAAAAAGCAATTTTGAAAAACATCCACAGGTGCTGAATTCACTTATCTTTATTGTGTCATTTCATGAAGCTCTTGTCAATCAGATCTTAGTTTTGTAAAAACATATGAAAGAACCACATTTATAAAACAATAACATTAAGAGCTCAGATGAAGTATCCAAAGCCAAAATCCCATTTCCTAGAAGCCATTTTACTTTATACATTTTAGCTGATGTATGTTGACAGTAACACAGAATGAAAAGCAGGAACTCCAGTTAAAAAAAGACAGGGTTCCTCACTCAGTCCTTGCCACTTTCTATGTTGAAAGTAGAGGCATTATTGAAACTCAGCTCTGGTTTCCCCTTTGATTTCATGAAATGGTCACCACTTCCCTATTTACATATCATTTGTGCTACAGATCCCTCCCTAAGTAAAGACTTTTTCTCTATCAGTGGGATGTTTATTTCTATTTTCATTCAAATGTGTACTCTCTAGAAGTTTCTTGTCTTGGAATATACACCATTAATTCCAGATATCCAACAATATAAAAATTTTCCAAGCTGTAATTTAAGCTGACAGATTCTCAGCTTTATTCAGCAAATTCTGATTTCCTAAAATTTTAGGGTATCCTGTAAAGAGACTAATTCAACATATTTTCATTAATTGAATACGTCTTTAAGTTAATAATCATTTGCCTAATAAGATGTATAAAATACCATTACGTAAGATGAGAATAAAGTTAATATATACTTTTTTAAAAATTAGACTGTTAGAAAATGGAATCTTTATCTGTTTTAGGGAGTACACCTTTAGGATGTTATAAAAAACTTATAGAATATCACAAGAATGGAGACCTTTCTTTTAAATATGTGAAGACCTTTAACATGGATGAATATGTAGGTAAGCTATATTGTTTGAATATATTATTTGGACATGTTGTATTATAAATTGAATATACTTTGAGAATATTAACATATTATTTACATTTGTTTTGAATGAATATATTTCTAGAGTATGATGTCCCACCTTGTAGTGGGTTGGAAGGCTATTTAAACATTTCTATGTCTATGTGATGACAGCATGACGCGGTGGAAGGACCACGGGACTGGAAGTCAGAAGATCTGCGCTCACCTTCCACTGTGCTACTTGCCAGTCCTGGCTCCATCAACTTTGAGCCAATTCTTTGATATTTCTCATTCTTTTTCTTTTTTCCTCACAGCAAAGTTAAAATCAGTGTGGGGATAAATTAATTAATATGTATCTAAAGTAATTAGTAAAATTTTTTCAAATATAAGGCTGTTTATATTTGTAGCCTTGAAGCTTTTATAGTTTATTGATGGTTAACTTGCTTGTGCTTCCTTGACGGCTCAGCGGGTAAAGAGTCCGCCTCCAGTGCAGGAGACAGGAGACGCTGGTTCGATCCCTGGGTCGGGAAGACCCCCTGGAGAAGGAAATAGCAACCCACTCCAGTACTCTTGCCTGGAGAATCCCATAGAGAAGGAGCCTGGCAGGCTACAGTCCGTGGGGCCACAAAAAGTCGGACACGACTGAGCAACCCAGCACAACTTGTTGAACTGGAAACAGATGAACTCTGTTAACATTTACAACTTATAGGTGTATATTTTTAATGGTAGCATGATTGCCAAAGAACCATCGTAGTTAAGTATACCTTGCATGCAAATAGAAATAACAGAAGAGGAAAATGATCAAAGATTTCAGTTGTATAGCCACTTAATTTGGAGAAGGAAATGGCCACCCACTCCAGTATTCTTGCCTGGAGAATCCCAGGGATGGGGGAGCCTCCTGGGCTGCCATCTGTGGGGTCACACAGAGTCAGACACGACTGCAGTGACTTCGCAGCAGCAGCCACTTAATTTATATTGAATTTAAGACATAAATCAGTCTTATTGGTTAAATTTTATATTTGAGAAGTGGAATATAGTGATTAAATGCACATGAACTAGACTTCTGTGTTCCAGCCCCTCCATTAGCTCCCTGACCCTGGGAAAGTGACTTAACTTTTCAGTGTTTCTGTTCATCTATAAAGTGAGATTGATACTAGTATTTCCACAGATGTCATACACATTGATTGAGTTAGTACATACATTTACAGTGGTTAAAATAATGCCTGACATAATACAGCATTTATTCCATATAAAAATGCTTTTAAATTGAATATAGCATAGAAAGATTATATATTTTAAATAGCATTTGTGGCTTAATCAGAAAAGTCAACTTTAGATTTAATTCTGAAAATAGTTATGTTTTTATTCATTAACTTTGTGTTTAGGACTTCCCAGAAATCATCCTGAAAGCTACCACTCTTATATGTGGAATAACTTTTTTAAGCATATTGATATAGATCCTAATAATGCTCATATCCTTGATGGGAATGCTACAGATTTGCAAGCAGAATGTGATGCATTTGAAAAGAAAATAAAAGAAGCTGGAGGAATTGATCTTTTTGTTGGAGGTACGTAAAACATTTTTTCAGTAGTCATTTGTTAGAACTTGGATTAGGTGCTTTAAATTTAAAAAAAAAAGACTTACCTTTGTGTAATGTAAAGTACATCTGTGACTGCCTGTAATACAGATTTATTTAGCTATTGATTTTTGTTTTACTTTATATTCATCAAAAAATAATCTTAATTTTGCAGGGGGGAATTGTTTAAATTGTGGCTTGAGAAATAGCTCCTAATTCCTGCTGAAGTCTTCTAATTATCTCTTTAGAACTGACACTTTACCACATCTTAGAAAAGGAGTGATGTGTTTCTTTTCCTAAATGATACTCTTATTCTTTTACTGTTTCTTTAAAATTCCAACCCAGGTTTCTTATCAGATTACAGCATTAAATCTCTAGAAGTCTGCATATGGTACAGGTGGATCTTAACATTTTTGTACTGACCATTAAATTGCTTCATTTCACCAAGAAATGTATCAAGAATGTCAGATTTTGTTTATCATCAGCCTTTAGCTAGTATGAATTGAGCTTTATAATTGCCTTAAGAAGATCTAAATAAATGTTTAATTAAGTTCCACTTAAAATTTCTATGTACATGTGTGCCCACACACCCACGTATACACACGTGTGTGTATATTGTGTCTTCCTGATCTACCATTGAAGAGAGGTGAAAGAGTCTCTACCTTTGTAATGACAGTTTGATTTTCTGTCATCACAGTGAAGCATCCGAATTCAGTTTACAGCATCATGGAAACTGAAACCAAAAGTGTTTTTTTGCCAGATTCTTTAGTATTCACCTAGACATACTCAAAGCTCTAAATTAACACTGGATATCTAGAGGTAGACATATCTGTTAGATCTTATGATTTATTAGAAGATGCTCAAAATTCTGTGAATTAGACCTGTATTGAGGTTAACTTATGGTTAAGGTGGTTGTGTATTTTGGGGGTGTTTGGTTGCCTTTGAGGAAAATTGGGTTTTATAGTTAGACAAAAACTAGCATCCAGTTTTGGCCACCTACTATCTGTAAGATCTTGGGAGATTTATTGACTTCAGTAAATTAGTTCAGTATTAAAATAGGATTAATATTAACCATTTCAAAATTGATGAGAATTAACCATCTTGTAATGTGTAAAATGCCTTATGAAGTGCTTGGTATATAGTTGGCATTCCATTAAGTGTTACTTTACTCTTTGTCTCTGAGGTATAGTTTGTAAAGTAATTATTTCTTAATGTATTGAATGTCCTGCTGTTTTACTGATTTACCTCTAAGGATATCTGGCAAGAATGAAGTTTTTCTCTTTGAGGAAATTGTTATCTACCCAGCAGAACGATTATCAATTACTGCCTTAAATATAGGGAATGGTTTTTATTTGAGCAAGAATTCAAGTTAGACTCTTGCTTTTCAAAATAGGAAATATCTGTGTTTTAAATAAAACTTACTAATATTACTTCAGTATTCCTGGAAAATATTTGCATTCCAGTTTTGTCCATGTGGATAATTATCATTTGAACCTACCAATACCACAGCTAGGCAGTAGACTTTTGAAATGTTTGTGTGCACTGCTGATGTATTCTTTAGATTTTATAAACTCTATACCAAAATAAGGTAAAATTACTATAAAATAATATGCCTAACTTGTGCATCTTAGTTATGTCAAGAAGCATTTTCACTCATTCACCATTGTAAGAGAAGAGAACGGCTCCCCACTCCAGGATTCTGGCCTGGAGAATTCCATGGACTGTGTAGTCCATGGGGTCACAAAGAGTCGGACACGACTGAGCGACTTTTCACTCATACCATTATACAGAAAGATACAACAGTTATTAAAACTTCAGTATTAAAAAATGACTACATGGATAACATAAATAGTATCTTTTTACTTTAATTGAGGGCTTATTTTTTCCTGTTAATTTATTGATCTTACATAAGGCTTCTGTGACAAATCCTTTGGGATCTTATTGCCAGGAAATAGAATTTACTGGGGGGAAAAACTTGATAAGAACTCTATAACTCCATTTTTTCCCTTTGCCTACTTTCCAGAAAATATTTTAGCTTAATGTAATGTTTAACGTTTAGTCTTGCTTTTCAGATACTTCTACTAGAACTTTCTTTTTCCCTCATAGCTTTAAGCCACTTCTTGTTTCTTTTTAGCTAAATTTTTTGGTGCATTTCCTCAAATAACCCACCTTAGTTTTCCCTTTGAAACTAATGGCTCCTAATCATAATTATTTATGTTTATTAATGACTCTTACTACTAAAAATAACTTAATATTTTGTTTTTTAACCATTTTTTGTCTTAAACTTACTCTAGTTCTCCCCTTGCAAAAAAAAAAAGAAAAAAGCAAATCCAAGATTTCCTTTCCTTTTCCATTAACACCTTCACTGTAGTCATGGGCCAATCCAGGGTCTGACAGTTCATATTTATCATCCAAGGGACATATAATATTACATAGAAAATGAAGGGTTGGCTTATTACATGTTCTTTGGGCTTCTCCCTGTTTGGAATACCCTATTATTGGATGTGTCTTATGAAAGAATCTCATTTGATTCTTTGCCTATGTTGATCTAGGTTGTTATCATTGGATTTTCAAGATGAGGCTTGGTATCTGGGTCTTACCACTTACCCTTCTTTTGTTCCAGGGTTTGGTTAATAAAAACACTAAGAACTGAGCCAAATGGGATCAAAATGTCAGCCTTATTGAAGGTAAAGTTGAATTAGAGATGGCAGGTTGGGCTTGAGGCTAGAATGGGGTTGCCTACTTCTACCGTCTGAATGAGAAATAGTAAAACCAGACAAGAGCTCCGGAGTAACCCACCATTGCTCACTCCTAGGAAATGGAGCCAGAGTTCCCATCCTTCTACAGATAGGAGAAAGGAGGAAATACACTATCAGAAATTCTTCCTCTGATGAGAGTGTGTTGGGAGAAAGAATAATGTGTATCATGCAATTTCTGATCCAACAATAAAATATACAAACATGGAAATCTATAGAGTCTAAATGCATTATTAACTTTAAAATGATCTTAAGATAATTTGTGCTTTAAAGGAAAGAATAGAAGATGATGGGAAGATTTTAACCCTCTACTTTGGTTACATGATTAGATTCTTTGATTTGCAAGTAACTATAATCTACTAATGGGACCAAAAGTGAATTTATTGGAATGATTCTGGAGTGATTCACATAATTGATATTAGAGTTGAAAAAACACGTCTTTAGAAGAACAAGAACCACGAGCCTCAGATCACCGAAGCAGGGACCCACCTGAGCCTCTCCTGCAGTGCTGTCGTCAGATGCCTCAGCTCTAGATGACTTCTTTCTTTTTGTATCCCTTGGTCAAATTTCAGATTTCTAGAGCGAAATTCTGATTGTTTCAGCTTAGCACAAGTACTTATCTCTAGACCACAACAGTTGTGCCTAAAAGAGATGAGATATAGGGTGTTATAATTGATCTAGGCCCTGTTGTGAGGGGATCAGATCAGGGAAGCAGGAGGGAATAACTGTACTGAACGTACCAAAGAATACCAGCCTCCTTTCATTTCTTCATCTGTTGCTTACTGAGGGCCTCCTATGTGTCATGTGTTCTACATATCAGGATATAGTAGTGAAGAAAGTCTTTGCTTTCATGAAGTTTACCTTCTAGCCCACAGAACCACAGACACAGGGAAGATACACAACTGGGACTCAGAGGTTCCAGGGATGTTGCATAAGGGTGTTGGCATCTTAGTACAGCCTTACAGACTGAGTAAGGATTAGGCATGGTTTTTAGAGTTGATGCTTATTTTAAAGAAAATTTGATAAAGCTTTGTAAAAAAAAATTCTGAACATTTAAAAAATACATTTTTATATCCAGAAGTTCAATTTCTGATAATTACTCATGGTCAGTAAGGGAATGTATTGACCCCTCTCCATCATGAGCCTTTGTGGTTAATTTGCTCTACACTTCTGTATGACTCAAATCACCAGTGAGACCACTAGAATTGATCTTTGAGGACTTCCTATTTTTTCTGGAACTCTTTTGTTTTCCTGTTTCTATCCTCTATAGAGAAAAATAAATAAAAGTGTCTGGGCAGATACATACGGAAGAGGAAAGGCAGAACAGTTTTACAAATCTAGAGAGAGATACATATCTATGGTTTAAAATTCTCAAGCACATACATACGTAATAGTGGAAACAAAGCATGCATATTAACCACATATAGGTCTGGGCTTTCTGTACTAGATTAAAAGTTAATCCTATATTATTAAAGATTTCCTTAGACTAAGGGCTTCACAGCTGGTCCTCGTGGTAAAGCACCTTCCTGCCAATGCAGGAGACATAAGAGACCCGGGTTCGATCCCTGGGTCAGGAAGATCCCCTGGAGGAAGAAATGGCAACCCACTCCAGTATCCTTGCCTGGAGAATCCCATGGACAGAGAAGCCTGGCGGGCTACAGTCTATGGGTTTGCAAGCAGTCGCACACGACTGAAGCAACTTAGCACATATTGTACTTTGGTAGTTCATATCTTGGGCTTCCCTGGTAGTTCAGTAGTAAAAAACTTGCCTGCCAAGGCAGGAGATGTAGGTTCCACCCCTGCACTGGGAAGATCCCCTGGGGACGGAATTGGCAACCCTCTCCAGGATTCTTGCCTGGGAAATCCCGCAGACAGAAGGCCCTGGCTTGTTGCAGCCCATGGGGTTGCAAAGGCCTGGACGTGAGTTAGTGACTGAGCTGATACCTGCTTCCTGAGGTTTTCATCTCTTTGTTCCTTCAAAGCCAGGTTACTCTTTGTCATATTTTGCCTTGTTGTAGCCTGGGGGAAAGTTTTCAGAATTATGTATTAAAAATCAATACGATATACCTATATATCATTAAATATGCAGAATATAAGTGTGACAGATATTTTGACCCAGAGAACTTGTGGGTTTATTTTTTTTATTGAAGTTGCCAGAAATCTGACTAGCAGGTAGGGTCCATGTATGTAAAACTTGATTTAGTAATAACCTCACAGAAAGATTCTTGATTTTATAAAATGATTTACCTCCAGTTTCCTTCTAATAAGAAATGTCATATTCTTACCTATATTTTGGAGACAGTCCTGACTATTAGAGCTGGTAGTAGATCTCCTTAAAGTAGTGTTTTCAAATTGTGGTTGTCACACATTATTAGCTTATGAAATCAGTAGGGTCAGTCACATCCAGCATTTCCCTTTTGTAAATGAAATGGAATGTAATCAAAAGTAGCTTGAATGACTCCTAGTAAGGGTAAGTATTATTTCATGTGGTTCTTATTTTAACTGTATTTATATGTGTGTTAGATTGCAATGTCAAATGTATTTCTTGCTATAGGTTACAGTCAAAAAAAGTTTGAAGAAAACTGTTGCCTTAGATAATAACTTGTCCAGTGTAGACATTTTTATAAGTGAGGAAACTGTACTACAGAGAGGTCCTGTAGTTAATTGCCCCATCTAGACTAAGAACCAAGCAAGTTAAAGTGTGACTATAAAGACTACTAGGTTAGGAATCAGAAGATTTAGACTGAGTTTTGTCTTAGTTATTTACTAAATTATTACCTTGAACAAGTCATATATTATCCTTGGGCATCAAATTTTCCTTTGATTTTAAATAGATATGCCTAATCTGACTGTATTACAAGATTGTTAAATATGTCTGATGTTGAGATGATGCATGTGAAAATGCTTTATAAAGTATTATTCTGATATAAAGTGATACTTAATTTTGCTGCTGTTACAATCACGCTAGCTCAATGCTAAGCATATGGAAAACATTGAAATACTTGTTGAATCAAATATAGGAACAAATATCTTACTGCAGCATTAGAAATTCAGCTATCAGATAAAACAAGGTGAGTGTGTTTATGACTGTTTCTTTGGTCTTAAAATCATGTTTAACTTTGAGAAAACGTATTTACTTTATGTGAGAAACCTCATTTACTTATGTGTATATGTGTGTATGTATGTATTTCTTTTGAAAGGAATTGGTCCAGATGGTCATATTGCTTTCAATGAGCCAGGATCCAGTTTAGTATCAAGGACAAGACTAAAGACTCTAGCAATGGACACCATTTTGGCAAATGCTAAATATTTTGACGGAGATTTATCAAAAGTGCCAACTATGGCTCTAACAGTTGGTGTGGGGACAGTGATGGATGCTAGAGAAGTAAGAATTAAATGTTCTTTGATGTTTTTCCTTTGATGTCTGTAGATTTTGGAGAAATTATGGTATCAAATAAGTGATGTTTTGATTTTATCATATTTGCAACATAAATTGTTGTCTAGCTTTCAGTAATTTCTGTCAGGCTCATTGCCATGTTTAGAGTTCAAGTAAATTAAGTCTTTGGAGCTGGAAATTAAAAATTAGGCACCACCTCTTTTGAGGTACTGCTTCACTTGCCTCTTCCTGTTTCACAGTTTGCAGTCCTAACATCACACTTATATATAGTTTTGGGAAAGGACTTGTTACAGCAAAGGTGCAATTCTAATTAACATTAAACTGCTTTTGGAGGCTGAAGGTAATTTAGTGTCATGTGCTTCTTGACTGTAGAAGCATAGCTTAGTTGGTTTCCAGTAGATAAAGAACCCCTCTAAGACTTGATCTGTTCTAAATTTGGTATGTTTAAGAAGGTATGAGTTCTGAACAGTAGACTCTTAGATTTTTTTAGTTTTTAATTCATCTTTTATTTCCTGCCTTGAGAATAACAGACCAAATTATAATCAGCTCATGATTATAAGTAGTTAAATTACATGGAAACCCCCAAACTCCATCCCTTTCTGGCAACAGAATCGGATAGGTTCAGGGGAAAGAGTATAGACAATGTATGGTGAATAAGTAACTGATCTTGATATAAATATATCTAGGCTTGAATACATAAACAGAACTGTCATTCAGAATGTAGGAGTTTTACATGTGAAAATCATAATTGGTTTATGAAAAAGACCTTTTTCATGGTAAATAAATTGAAAATAATTCAGAGCAATCTTAGTTCTAAAATACAAAACCCAAAGTTAATGGAAAAAGATTCTTATATTTAGCAATATTTAAGTTATAATGCAATTCTTACACTAGTTCTTAGAAGAGAGTTCTTTCAAACATTTGATTTTTTTTCTTTTCAGGTTTTCCAGCAAAATTACATGATGCCATTCACTTTATAGTATTTATTCCCAGCATGATTATAGAGAAAATTACGGCAAAACTACTAGGGCTTCATCCTTTTCCTAAGGGCTTTGATGCTTTGTCGTGTATCATTCTTTGTTTTTAAACTGAAGTACAGCTGACGCACAATATGGTACTAGTTTCCAATGTGCAGCAAAGTGATTCATATTTCAGATCATTTCCATACAGCGTGAGTCCTTGTACTTAGCTGTTTTACATAGTGTGTATCTTTTAATTTCATATTTCTAATTTATCCCCCTTTCCCTTTGGTAGCCATAAATTTGTTTTCTGTTTCTGTTTTATATAGATTCACTTGTATTATTTTTTAGGTGCCACATATGAGTGATACCATATATTTGTCTTTCTCTGTATGACTTACTTTACTTAGTATGATATTCTCTAGGTTCATCCATGTTAACTGCAAATGGCACCATTTTTTTTTTTGTAGCTGAGTAATATCTGTGTGTGTGTGTGCACTCAAGCCACGTCTTCTTAAACCAACCCTTTGCTGACACACACCTGGTTGTTCCTGTTGTCTTGGCTATTGTAAATAATGCTGCTAGATTTTTCATAACATTCTTTTGAAAGAAGTATCACATGATTATACTTAATGATTTGCTTGTCTTCTATTTTAATGGGCTTAATGTGTACAGATTTTCATCTGCTAGTAGTTTTAACTCTGATGGGAGTTATTCTTCAATGTCATTTCCAATAACTGCAAGGACACATAAAATGTGGATCCATGTGTGGGGCAGATGCCTCTGTTGAGTGGAAAGTAGATCTGACTGGGAGATGAAGTCTTCACATTTTGGGGCAACTCAGATAATGAGGACCTTCCGTACACGTGTTAGAAGTGACACCTGTCAGTTATTACAGATTTCTTAGGAATTAGGAATTATCTACTAGATATTGAACCACACAGGTCACTGCCTGCAGTTTTCACTCCTTTCTCGCTTGAGGCCTTACACTGATGTTAATTGGGAAATGTTACACTTTTTCTAGTCCTTGCTTAGCTAAAATAGCACCATTCACTTTTCAGCTTTCAGAGCTCCCTCTTCTGACCATAATCCTGATAATCAAAATTACTGTCTTTTATTCTGTTTTACTGTGCTGTTCTTTTTCTTTATAGCACTTTTTGCAGTTTGTAATTGTTTTTTGTGTTTAGTTGTTTAATATCTTTTCCTAATTTATAATCGCCAAGTATTATTGGGTTATGTATATCTAACACAGTACACTGCCTGTCACATACAGATATTCAGTTATTATTAGAAACAGTTTAAATGAGTTTTTTTTTGCCTATAATTCATTTTAGACAGGTTGGTTCTATCCACAGCTTGGCTGTCTCCCTAAACTATCTGATCTGATTTTTACTAACTTTTGGCCGTTTGGCAAAAGCCATATTTACCCTCAAAGCATTAAAATTTGTTTTTACTGAGAGCTGTTTAAAGATAATGCTTGTATGTTTAAGGCAATTTCCAAAGAAAAGATACAAAATTGTTTTTAACTGTTGTAGCATCTTTAAAATTGTTATATATAATAATTTTTTATTTTTGTGATGACCATTAAAACTTAAAAATCCACTTTTGGTTTTGTTGACTTACTGAATATGAGACGTCACCAATGATTTCGTAACTGTTAAAACCATCATCCTTTTACAGGTCTTATCCTACTGGGCCTCTTTTTCATCACCTATCCCTGTTTCTTCTGCCATAAAATTGCTATTATTCTTCCTTTCTGACCATTCTTTCCCAGTCAGTCCTCCATCTGCTTCCGGTCCTCATCCTAGCACTGTATATTCATTCTGCATACTTTTGGGCAGTCTTCTCAGTGACCTCTTTGTGTGCATGTTTTTGTTTGTTTAATTAACACATCAATAGCAGTCTCACTTTATAATACTGTTCTCAGGAGATTTAGTACTATTCCAAAAAGATCAGCTGTGCTCAATACAGTGATAACGACCAATCTTTAGCCAGTTCTTTTTCTGAAGCTGCAGAATTCATATTTTCAAGTGACTCCTTAAATTGTTCAAAATTCATCTACCAAAATTGTCTTTGCCTCCCTTGGTGAATAGCAACACTCTCCATGAAAATTATCTGAGCTTGAAACTCTCAGCTTCTTCACATCTTATCAAGTCACCACATTTCACCATTTAACTTAGAGGTAAATTAAGGGACCAGCTCTCATCAGAACTGCCTTACTTCTGGTCTATATCAGTTTTTATTCTTGAGGATTATTGCAAACCCATCCTAAACTTCATGCCTATCTCCTTTCTTTACCTATCCCATTCTCTATATCACAGCCTAATTTTTTTAAAAGAACATAATTTAGTTATTACTTGTGTGTATAATAAGTCTCTGATTCCCTGCTACTTCACCACAGATGGTATCAAGCCCCTTTGTTTGGCATGAAAAGGCTCATATATCAAATTTCAGTCAGTTTTTAGCCGCTTCCATTCATTACCCTATGGCCCAGCCTTACCAGATTTCCAGCTTTTTACTGGCCACCCTATAGTTGTCTGAAACGCCCCCTTTTCTGCTTATCCTCAAAGACTTGGTTTCAGACGGGAGCTACTCTTACCTCTTGTTCACATTTATTCTCTTATTCCTTGAAAATAGTGGAACAGAGTAGAAATGATCACATTGGCAACATCAAATTATGAGAACAGTGCTTTTCGATTCCTGATTCTCCAGATATGTCTTCATAATTTTCAATTAAAGGTTATATGTCTTATTGTAGTTGCTAAGGATGTGGTTGCTGGAGTCAGACCTCTTGTTTATATAGTAGCTTTACCAAGACCTTCAGCAAGGTACCGAATATCTGTGCCTCAGTTTATCTATAAAACAGGAAAATAAGAATAGTATTTATCTCATGCTGTTGTTTGGAGGAGTTAAATGAGATGATTCATAGAAAGTGCTAAGTTCAGTGTTTAACTTTGAAACCACCAAATCATCTTAAAACTCCTGAAATAACCATTTCAATAAATATCTATCATGCAGTTATCACTACATATTCCCATTTAATGTAGTGTGTGTTAAGTTGCTTTAAAGAGACTTTTCAAATGATAGTATAAGGATTTATGCCAGATTGCATAGTAATCACTTAAGGGACCCTGATTCTTGGGTTCTAATTCCAAAGATTCTGAATAGAAGACAGAGCAAAGAACTTGAATATTTTATTACTGTTTTTTTTTAACTCCTGTGTCTTTAATTTCCAATAAGGAAAACTAATTAATAAAGCCACTAGTCAAGTGTTGTGCTCACCTTATTATGTCAAGCATTGTTAATGTTTAAAAGAATGCTTTTAGTTATAGGTGCTTTTAATTAAAAAATGCCTTTAATTATAGGCATATTAATTCTTCACTGAACTGAGATTTCTGTACTTAAGAACAAGAAGTATCAATAAAAAACAGCAGAAATTCATACACATTTTAAATGCATTTTTGGGCTTTGATATTTTTTAAGATTTTATTAATCTTTAATTTCCTCCACGTTTTAGAAGGTCTGGTGATAAAAATACAAAATACAGAATTTTTACGTTGTTATAGATATTTTAGAATTACAACCACCTTAACATTCATTTTTTAGTTAATGATTGTAATGAGAAAAAATGTTTAACGATTTATTTCATAAACTTTTAACTTGTAAAATAGGATTGAGTTACTGCTAACACTGGTAAAGAAATTCTTTCAGACATCTATACACTTACTCATTTTTGCACATGTTCTTTGAATTATCTCATAGGCTATTAGGGATTTGGGACCAAGAGCTTGGATTTTCTGTACCTAAGGATAGGTCTCAATTATGTAACACATATGAGTCTTAAGAGAAAAAAAGGATAGTTCCTATATTTAAGTAGATTCTGAGTCCTTCCTTAAACCTAGTTTTGTTCCACAATAGCTTTATATAGCACCTATTCAGTGAACAGTCTTCAGACTCTATAGATTACTTTAAAATATCTATTCTTTCAGAGTCCTTTGCTTTTCCAAAGTGATATCTACTACTTGACTAGAGCCTGGTTATGTGATTTATGCAACTCTGCTTTTACAAAGTAGCCTTTGTTTCTTTTCCTTTATTCCCCCAGGTCCCTTCTGCACACCCACTGTCATAAGTGTTAAATACCAGAGGCATTATGGTGCATTTAGTAACGCTCCATTACAAGATGCTATTTTACTTTGTCTCCTGTATGCTTGCCTGTTACCTTAAAGAGCAGGAATATCTTGGACTATCAAGAAATATGGAGCTATTTCTATTTATTTCAAGCCTCAGAAAAATACTGGTGCTCAATTCTTTGTTTTAAAAAACAGCTTCTTAGTCATTTGAACGTGTTTTAAGAATTGTTCATGATTTTTCAGGTAATGATCCTCATTACAGGCGCACACAAGGCATTTGCTCTCTACAAAGCAATAGAAGAAGGAGTTAATCACATGTGGACTGTTTCAGCTTTCCAGCAGCATCCCCGAACTATTTTTGTATGTGATGAAGATGCTACTTTAGAATTAAGAGTTAAAACTGTGAAATACTTTAAAGGTGAGCACTGAAGTTTCAAAAGTAGATTGGGTGAATGTTCCATTGTAGATAACAATTAAAACTTAATGTGATTGAATATGATGTAATTAGTCATATATATAGGTCAGTAATTCATAAAGTATGTAGTAAGTGTACTGATGATATTATGTGAATGAAAATACATTTTTAATCTTTTTACTCTAATAACTAGGTGTTTAATATATATTAGAAAAAATATATACTGAACCAACCAAACTTGTATTTCATGGATATCATTGCTTTGACAAGGTTAAAGAGGTTACTGTATTTTATTAGCTCTAAGACACTGCCTTTTTCACATTTATCTAATTTGAAATTGGGCTGTTTAAAGTTGATTTCATATAGTTGATCTGGTAGCAAGTTTTCCTTAGAGGTACATAAAATAATAGCATGTCTTATACTTTTTCAGCATCTCATATTCATGAAATATAGTAATAACTTGAAAATTCAATTTAAAGGAAATCACGAACTCATGGTTCATGGGAGAGTGTGAATGTCAAAAAATCTTGACTGTAATACAAAGGAAGTTTGGCAAGCAGGAAAAATCGTCTCATTTTTAACATGAATTTTGATCATATAGAGAGTTTAGTATTAGCACTTAACCTGTTGTGAGAATTTTCTTGTTTTACTAAATATTCTTCAAAACTGTTAATGGCTATATGATAGATGTCATAGTTTACTTAAATGTTTCCCTATTGTTAAACACTTAGATTACTTTCAGTCATTTATATTTTTATCAGTTAAATTACCAGCTTTTTACCAAGTCACAAATATACCAAACTAAACTGAAAATTGTAATTAGTAATTTGACAGATAAAAACAGAGAATAGCTCAGTTATGGGTTATGAATAAGATAGAGCTCTTGATGGCATCTTACCCATATATTTCCATGTAGTCCAGGTTTCATCGCAACTATTAGATTCCTTGACAAAGTTAACAGAAGCAGTCTTCAGTATCCACATACTTTAATGCCAGTTCAGAGGAGATTCATTTAACATTGCCATTTTCTAACACGGTTAATTTCCAGATAAACTCCCTATACTTGTCTGATTTTGTCAGTCTGATTTTTATTAGAAAATAGTAATAGCCAATACTTATATTACCAGGCGCTATTTTAAACATAATATACTTACTGATTTACTTAATTCTCAAAATTCTATGACATGGCTACTCTTATAATCCCACTTATAGGTGAATTAACAGGCTTAGTAGAGATGTTAAGTCACTTACAAATTAACAAATTATGAAGCTGAACATATTTCTGAAGAGATTCAGGACATCAGCCTGTGTCAGGATGCCTCCTTCAATATGGAGAAAAATGGATTTGAGATATTGTTCTGGGCTACATATATAGACCTCATTTTATAGTAAAGGATTTTGATACAAGGTAGAATGTTTGACTTCATAAATTTATACATGTTATAAATATAATTTTGTATACTTGTTATGTTCTCATTATTATATTGCTAGATATACTGGAGGAAATGAATCCCATAGTTATCTTTAACTCTTCAAATACCATTCATACCACTATTCTTTCTTCTGCCATCCCTTTAAAAGTGTCAACAGGAATCGTGAAGGGTTCTAATTATTAGCTCCTAAAGAAATCTTAAGTTAACTACATGTAAAACAATACACATCATTAGCAAATGGAAGTTTACTTCAGTATGTATCTTTTGAAAGATATAAGTAGATCACAGGAAAACATTTTAATTATTTTATTCCAGTTTTTTTTAATAAAACCTATCTTTTATATCCTTGAAGTAATATATTTTCAAGATATTATCATCATGGTGAACATTTTGCTTTGTTTTATCCTTCGTAGGCCCTACTCCAGTAGCTTGATAGACCTTGAATGAGTTCAGATTGAACCAAACCATAAAATCTATATTTAGCTTTTCTTCTTCAGGCAACATGTCAGAAGTCTATGCATTTTTATCATTCTTATTAGAATTTACTTATTTCTATTTACGATTTAAGTAGCAGTTATATATGTTTATCACATTCTTGTGTAGGAAGTTGCTTTATGTACAAGTCATAGCTAGTGTTTAGTTTAAAAAAAAAAAACTTTATGAATGAGTTGGATTTGTAACGTTTATCCTGATGTTTTAAATTGTGCATTTTTAAGCTCTGATGTATTCTTACCATGGTCAAAGCTTTAATCAAATGGTAGATGAATTATATCAAGAAGAATGATCCTCTGAGAGCTCATGCTCTAGAAGACCTGTACCTTCTAAACTACACGGCTGTGATTGCCATGGTCTCTGCTGTCTCCTCTCAGGCCTCTCCAGTCTCCACCTTGCTGCTGTTTACATACTGTTTGTAAACTTTCCAGTTAAATCTTGTTTTAAATAAGATTGGTTCTATTTAGAGATAATTATCTGGTAAATTTTTTTCATAAGCAGATAACTTTTGCAATATAAAAAATTATCCTTTAATGTTCATTTTTGGGAAATGTAAATTATATTTTCCAGTTAATGTCATCAGTCAGGAAACATGAGTTACTGTGCCTTCAAATATATTGTCTCCTGTGGTATTACTCAAAAGAAGTATAGGTTTCCCTGCCTGGAGGTAGTTGGCATTCTTCATAAAAACTGGCTCATTAAGTGATTTGAGAAAATATCAATAAAATGTAGCTCCATAAAGGTAGGGACTTTAGTTTTGGTTCACCGCATTAGTTCAGCATCTCAAAGGATACCTAGTACATTGGAGACACTTGGTAGATTCTAGGAAGTTGGGCAGGTAGAGGGATAAACACGTGACGCTGATACCGTTTCAGTTTAAGAACTAAATTATGTAAATCGCTGTGAAATCCAAGGTACATTGAGGAGATTTTTATATAGTACTGGAAGAAAACTTTAATTGAGCTGATGGGACTGAGAGCTGTTGAAGATGCCTAGCGTTTAGTTTTCAAGGAAATGGCATAATCAACAGCACAGGTGCAAGGATGAACTGACACAGTAGCAGGAAAAAGTTCCTCTTAGCAGAATAGAAAACAAAGTATATTGTTTTAAAAGTACAGGCTAAAATGGGACTTGCCTATACTTTAAAAATTTAGTGAAAAGGCAAATGAGGGCTGACATGTCAGTGGCCTTTCAAAAGAATACTGGAGGAGAGGAGTTATCAGCCCTGAGAAAAATATTATGTATTAACATTTTTTGAGCAAATAACATATGCCAGTAAATAAGTAATTTAAAATCTAGCTTCAGAGATAGTTTGCATGAAACAGTTGAATGAATGAAGTATTTGTTGGTTTGTCCACATTCTCATGGATTTTATCATAGGCTTTTTATCTTCAAAGCACTGGTAAGCGTGGAAGGGAAGGTTAAATAACTTTATGGAACTGTCACTGTAGAAACATTCAAGTATTAGAGATTACATTATCTAAGACATAGAAACTAAACATCATTATAGGACTTTTATGCGCTATGACAAGTACCTTGCTTTTTATTTTGAACTTTTGAGCAGAGTTTACTTTATTTTATATATAAGGCCAGATAGCTAAATAGCTGTCATATTCCCGAGGTGCAGGCAGAACCAATCAAGGGCCTGTATGCTTAGTTTAGTTCTTGTTATACATAATTCCTTCACTTCTTGGGTTAATTGTGCTCCTCGCTTTGCTGTCTTCAGACTCTTCCCATTACTCACTTTAACCTTCTGACCTTCTCTCTCCAGCTGCGTGGAACACTTTAACCTCCGTCCCTCCAGTCTTACCTCCAGGACTCTAGGTTTATCCTTAGTGATTAAGCATCCGTCCGTCTAGCCATTCTGCCACTGCTCTTGATACTTTTCAGCCTTAAGGGCCTCTGAGTTACAGAATCTTGGTCTCCACTCTCTCCCTTTCTCCTTTTTAACAATGTATGTTCTAAATTCATTTTGTTTATAAAAAAAAAAAGCTTCCCAGAAGCCATCTCACTGAACCTTCACAGATTTTTTTTAAAGTAAATGTTTACTGAGCTCCCACCGTGTATCATGATCTTTATAAACCCAGAATTTAGAGTAGAAAATTTAAGGTCCTGAACCTCAGTTTATTTTCTGAGTGCAAATTGTTCTAAAGAAAGTGAAATAGTAGTTCATTATATGGTGACATTTAGGCTGAGAGCCAGTAAGCCTAAAGGAGAAAATCATGCTCTGCTCAGGGAGAAGAGCATCCCCAGCTAAATGAGACAGCAAATGTAGACCCCGCACTGTGACCAAGCTTAGCCTTTCTGAGCTAACAGCAGCAAAGCCAGGGCTGAGTGTAACACAGAAGGGGGCAAGTGGAAGGGCATGAGATCAGAAGGATAAACAAAGACAACAGATTGAAACCTAAGTTATTTTCTAAGTGACCATAGCAATGAGAGAATTTTAAGTAGGGGAATGGTATCATCTAGTTTCTTTTTTTTTTTAATTAAAAAAGGAAAAATTATGCAAATAGGGTGTTGAGCTGGTCATAAGATTAGAGAGGAAAGTGGCTTCAACCAGCTGTAGAGATGAAGAAATGTAGCTAATCTGCAATGTATTTTGAAAGGAATGTCAAGCAGTCTTGCTCCTGAGTTTAAAAGAAAAACATCACCAGTGAATTTCAGTTGTCTGGTGTTAGCAGCTCAGCAAATGATAGATAATACCATATACTAATATTTTAAAGAAATGGTATAGAAGGGGAAAATCGATCTGGACTTTGTCAACAAGTCTGAGGTGATCATGAGACACTGAAGTAAGCTGTTGAGTAATTAACATTCTTTCAACTGCACTAGTGAATATTTCTCTCAGGACTGTTCCACTCCTGGTTTTTCTCCTACATGTAGTAGGACTTTAGTGTTCTTTACATGTCCCTTTACTTACCTCTTAAAAATGGGTCTTCACAGTTTGAATTTTAAGAGTGATTCTGCAGCCTTTTGATAAAGAACACTTTCTTACTAGCAAGTACCCTGTGTCCCCAATCCTGTAATTCCATTTCTTAAGAAAACCACATTAGTCCCTTTCCCCAGTCTCCATGTTCTTAACAGCATGATAAAATTTAACTGATTTCTCTGACCTCCAAATAAAATCTTCAGTTGATTAATTGGGACCATTTATTTCCCCAAAGACATGAGTAACTGGAAGATTTCCCCAAGAAGCTTTAATAATTAAGGAGATTTTACAACCATGCCAATTATAAGATGAACTCTTACTTGGAAATTAATATTTAATGTAGGTTATCTTCTACATTGTTTTAGTAAACTTGTCTGAGTGACTTGTCATCAACCCCTATTGTAAACACACGTGTCAAAAGAGTGAAAAATAATTTGCCACTTGAGTGGATAGGATAATACATTGGAGAACTAACGTAACAACAGTTCTGAGCTCCTCAGCAGAGTTTGACTAGAGTTTGACTCTGAGCTCCTCAGAGAGTCAAACTCAATACTTTAGAGGTAATTAATATTCAAATCTGTTATTTTGTCATACTGAAATTCTAAAGACAAAACTGCTCGCTCTTTTGCTTACTTAAAGAACCTGTACCCCATTCTAGATCTACGATTTCATAACCATAAATTGATACTTGCTAGGTAGTTTAAACATTCTGAAACATTTGTTTGCATCTTTCCAATAAATAGAACCATTATGTATTGGGGGCTTCCCTGGTGTCTCAGACGGTAAAGAATCTGCCTACAGTGTGGGAGACCCAGGTTCGATTCCTGGGTCAGGAAGATCCTCTGGAGAAGGGAAAACTAAACAGTCTGAAAGATAAAGAATCTGCCTACAATGCAGGAGACCCAGGTTCCATTCCTGTGTCAGTACGATCCTCTGGAGAAGGGAAAACTAAACAGTCTGAAACATTTCTGTTTGCATCTTTCCAATAAATACAACTATTTTGTATTAGGTGGGAGCTAATATATGTTGTATTTTATTAAATCTTTCTAAAGTAAATGAAGTACAGTTCAAATTAGAAATAAAACTAGAAATGTGCTTTTTTTCTTTAAGGTTTAATGCATGTGCACAATAAACTTGTGGATCCACTGTACAGTATGAAAGAAGGAAATTGAAGGAGATTGGATCAAAATTCTGCTTGAATGAACAGAACACTTTTATACATATATGAATTTTCAGCTATGCAATATGAATTAAAACTTGGGGGATTTTTGAATATTGTCATTTTTGAAGTCTAATATCTATGTTAAACATTCCATATTTACAATGTGTCCATTTTATACTAAGGTTTAGGAGAAATAATTGGCTTTCATGGTTGATCAGCTACTTGTTACAGAAGCCACACTGTCAATGTACCACCACAGAAATGTCTGCCTATTTACAAATTTTAAATCATTTTAAAGGTGACTTCTGAACATCAAGTATTCATATGACTCCAGTGGCATTATTAGACTTTAATTTTTTAATAACAGGACGACACTCCAAGCCTTTCAGGTATCATACAACTATCATTGCAAGCCTTTACTTCCAAATGCTATCTTTATTTTCTCTGCATTACACACAAGCTTTCTGCACGTGGTTGCCTTGGTCATCTTTCTACAATAGCATCTGGACATCAGAAGTCCTGTTAAATATTGTTGGTACAGAAAATTTGAAGAGATGGCAGTGCCTAAAACTACAGTTTATGTCCTTTTGGAAAGTATGTATTAAGTGCATGTTTTTTGTGCACCGTCGTCTTTAGCACTTTTTTTTCTTTTTTTTTTTTTTACAAATGTGACCTTAGTTTTATTTAATGACTTGGGTTCAGGCACTTAATATAAGTATTTTGGCAATTATGAGCTTTATACCTAGAAACACACTGAAGAAAAATTTTTTTAAGAAAAATTATTATTAAACCTCTTAAACGATTAGCTTTATTCCTTATATATACATACTATATAAAAGGATATGATAAAATATAAAAGGAATTACTGTAAACTATTTTAGATTGCATAACCATTTGCATCATTAAATTGCAAATAAAAGTATATTGTTTTCTATCTTTAACTCAAATAAAGCTTGTAATAAACAAATATTAAGTTATCTAAATTTTATTTCCAGAAGTGAAATTGAACACATGCATCTGAAATATTCTAACAATTAACAGTAGCTATGAGATTGCATTTATTAATACTTTTTATTTGTTGTCATCATGCAGTTAGATTTAAGTTAAAAGACAATGCCTCTGCCTATACAACTTCTTAATTCTGCTTCTTAGGGAGTAAAAAATACTTCCTTTTCACTCTGCATATTTTGCTTTTTATAAGCCCACTTAGTAGAAGCATCACTTCTATACCTGCTTAATCGCCTATGTGATTGAAATATATTCTTAAAAATATTTAAATAGAAAATTAAAAAATAAATAGGACTGTTAGGATAAAATATGCTGCTGTAATTCTAGATAATGAAGTTTTAATAGACGAGTATATAAATGGTTTTTGAATAATTGGTGAAATCAGTATTATGTCCCAGTCCCATACCTGGTAATTAAGAAGTCTCCTGAAGATATTTCCACAAGAGGCAATAAAGCACAGTAGCTAAGCATTGTGGTCTGAAGAAAGAAACCACTGTTTTGATGTTGGGGAATGCATAGGTCTGAGCTTCTTCCCCTATGAAACAGGGTAACAGTGCCTGTGCCTCCATTGTTGTGTGGATTGAATGAGGGAATGTCTAGAGAGCTCAGCACAGTGGCTGTCAACATACTAAACTCAATAAGTGGTGGCTATTATAATGCTAATGGTTTATATTTTAATTTACAGAAAAATCTTAGTAATATAATTAAGGTCTTCTGGGGCAGTGTCCCCAACTTCTGAGATCTAATGCCTGATGATCTGAGGTAGAGCTGATGTAATAATGGAAAGAGTGCACAGTAAGTGAGGGCTTCCCCGGCGGCTCTGGTAGAGTCTGCCTCCCAGTGCAGAAGAGACAGATGGAATCCCTGATCCAGGAAGGTCAACATGCCGCAGAGCCCAGGAGCCACAACTACTGAACCCCTGGAGCCTGCATGCTAGAACACGAGAAGCCACTGAAATGAGAAGCCTGCACTGCAAATAGAGAAAAAAGCCCATGAGCAACGAAGACCCAACACAGCCCCCAAAAAATAATAAATAAAATTTTATTAAAAACGTAATGCACTTCAATCATCCCCAAGTCACCCCCCAGCAGTGGAAAAATCTTCCAGGAACTCTGTCCCTGGTGCCGAAAAGGTTGGGGACTGCTACTCTGGGGGAATACACAACTCTAAACCACATTTTATCAAAGTGGCCAGGGAGAGAAGAGTGTGCTAAAAAAAAATCTGAAAAATATTTTGTACAACTACTAAAACTGTTTCCTTAAAAGTCAGAGGTTAAAGGGGAAAGAAAAAGTATCAAGCTGTACGAACACTTCTGTTGCTCAGCTGCGTCTGACTCTGCAACACCATGGACTGCAGCATGCCAGGCGTCCCTGTCCTTCATTATCTCCCAGAGTTTGCTCAAGCTCATGTCCACTGAGTGATGATGCCATGCAGCCATCTCATCCTCTGTCTTTCCCAGCGTCAAGGTCTTTTACAGTAACATACAAGTAAGGCACAAATATTAAATAACAAACACACAGTACATGCTATGTGCCAGGTTACCAACTTCTAACTTTCCCCTGGCCATAACGGTATAACAGAACATCTCAGAAATTATATATTAAAACAATACTGTCATGAGATCTCATAATCCATCTGATCTACCAGAGCTAGAAGACATGAAGATGATGGTTGATTAATTTATGTAACTAGGACTAAGCCACATGTTACTTAACGTCTATACACAATTTTAAGGAAGTTGCCACTATCTGAATTTATAACAACCTTGTATAAAATTTATCACTGACAGTCTTATCCTCATTCAGTTCATTCAAAGTAAAGGACAAAAATCAATGGCTAAATTATCTTACTATAATTCACTATGCCTTACTAAGAAATGTTTTGAAGTAAGACAGCCATTTACTGACTGTGTGACCTTAACTAAGTTATTTAAAGCTTCAGTCAGTCTCAATTAGTCTCAATCATGAAATCTAGACAATAATTATGAGACTTTCATTAATGACAATTGCTATTAATATCAAACATCTGTCCCTTTACATAAATGCATTTTAATTCTCAGAATAAGGCAGCTCATATCCTTATTTTAATTTTATATGTAAATTATCTGGTTCAAAATAACATTTGTAAAAATTTTATGAAAAACTAGATCACAGGTCTAAATACTATGTTATTTGACTTTAATAATAGATTCATATATATCATCTAAATATATCCATCTAACAAGCTTATTGTGGGATTGGAATAAGATCAAATATTTAAGTATGAGGCCTTTCAGTGTAAAGAATATGCTTGAAAACTAGTTAGATTCATTCACTTAACACTGACTATGTGTCATGTAGTCTTCTGAACATTTTAAATATAGTATTTAATACTCACAGCCTATGAAGTAATAGTATAATCCTGATTTTACTAAAGAATAAAGAAAGGGTAAGTTGGTCAAGGTCACCTTACCTAGTGAGTGGTGGAACAGAAATGTGAAACCAGGCAATATGGTTTTATCCACCCATTACTGTCTTCCAAAGAAAAGCCAAGAGGTTACTTAAAATTGAAAACCTTGAAGGCAACAAGAAAATTTTATAAATTTTCCTTCTGTTGTGTTCAACATAATCACTAAGGAAAATTAAAAGATACACAATCTTTAATTTATGAAACTTCCTTATATTTTCCCACCAATTATTTATCAGTTGGTGTTCTCAGAACTTTTATAAAAGCATCTTTTGGAACTTCAACACTGCCAACTTTCCTGAGCTTTTTCTTTCCTTCTGCTTGCCTCTTCAAAAGCTTCATTTTTCGGGTAACATCACCGCCGTACTGAAAGACATTTTAAAAAATCAGAAGTCCAAATCACTCCATAGAAAAATAATCCCACAATTAACTAGAGATATCAATACAATTACAACTTTATATACAGTCACTATCCATGAGGTAGACACCTGGTAAGTCACCTCTAAGACCCTTCCGAGCAGATCCTAAATTTACTATTAATATCTTCTCAAAGAATGATAAGTGCTTTATTTGTTTTTGAAGGAGATGAAGATTCTCAAGGAAGCCCAATACTATATTGCTATCAATCTCCTTACTGATTCAAGGCCTTGAAATTTTGAATTATATAGCTGTAATCTAATACAGAAACTTGCATAGGCTTAAATGTGTCAGTCCCAGTGTTGAAGATTTAGAAAAAGCATTTATCATTTAATTCTCATAATAACTGAGTTAAGAATCTTTTTTTAACAGAAGAAACAGTAAACTTCGCAAATTAATGTAGGAGAAATGGATTTCAATTTTAACTCCATTCTAAGACAGTCATTGTCTTCAAATGCTTCCTTAAAAATCAAAACATTATCCTGATCATAAGTGTTATAAAAACATCCTTAGGTAGTTGCACATAAGGAAATTTTTAAAAATAAGATAGGAAAATACTTCAGAATGTGAGCAAAATGAATATGCAATCATTAAAGTCAAGCTGACATTTACCTATTTAAAAAGAAAACAGATGAGATAAAAGGTACTATGGAAACCCAAGGTATTTATACCCTCTCTGATTTTAAACTTACAAAATAAAGAACATACGCAGATACATACACATTTTGCCAAAACATTTTTCCTATAGGCTTTCACACTGTAAGAGAGAAAATTTTCTTTAAGTACACAATTATACTAATTAAAAGTACTTATTTTCAAAAACAATTCCCCCTTTACTAAAGATACTAAGATCGGGTGATACTTAGGTAAAATTGCCAAAAGACAATCAATAGATAGCTTATATGCTCTTGTATTTCATGTATTTGGAATAAAATAGACAATTCAAAATGAATATAAACACAGATTTTATTAAGAATTAAAAAAAAGGTTTGTGGATAGTCTCGAGGCCAAAATAAAGACTGGTGTGACCTTGATGATGAAAATTATATAAGGGAATTTCTAGTTCAATTTAAAACTACTACTACTTTCAAAAATACTAAAATGGTTATTATCTCATTACTGACTATCAAATGTGGGTCAAGACTGACTAGGAATATGAAGAACAATATATTTTATAAAACCCATTTCAGGGGAAATGAAATAATTTCATACAGCCCTTCAAGCAGCTATAAACTAATCTATTTCCATAACATATCTGAGAAATATGGAGGATCAAAAGTTTGAAAATAACTCCACTTTTTTTGTATTCCATATGAAGATATAAAAGTCTTATTCTTTATAAGGTTTTCTCTACCTCAGCACATTTATGTTTGAATGATTATTCGCTATTTTAAATGGCATTTTCTGCAAGTTCCCTGATTATAAACTCCACTCTGCCTAATCTGAGTACTTATGAAACACAAAATAACTAACACAAAATAGTATTAGGAAATGAAAGTCATTGCAAATACCTGCACACAACTCACCCCAAGACTGCTGCAAACCCTGAAGCCTAACACGCTGTCAGTGTTCCCCCTCTCCTCTACGCACTGACTAGCTCTAAGGAAGTGGTATTAAATGCTTCAAGTAAAAATCAATCTAGTTTTCTCTTGTGGAAGGATATCTCCAAAACCTTTTTAATTCTAGTTCCTATATACTTGAAGAGATAAAACACACCATAAAAACTTGACAGAAATTCCTTAATCAGAAAATTGAGTGGGGTCACT